CACAGAAAGCAGCGGTGCACCTGAAAAGAAAAAAGCAGCTTTGGATGAAACGGCAAAAGGTGGTGATGAGAGTAAAACATCCGCAGATGATCCTTACTTGAAGGGCTTGTGTGAGGATGGAGTGCGATGGTACCTGCGCTTCTTGAAGGAGGGTCTTGATCCTAAAGCCGCTTGCAAAAAAGCTTGGGAACAGAGAACCGAACCCGTTGAGTTTGAGCCGCAGTGGGGCAAAGAGTTTTTGGTGAGGGAAGTTGAAGAAGAACCTAAAAACCACAAGCAACGACAAAGACGGCGGGGATTAAAAAAGCCTGAAATCAATGAAGATTATCGAATTGCTGTACATCCAAAAGACTTCCCAGATCAAATGCTTGATTTGCCATCGCTAGCACGGCTGGAAGAGGCTATCTCAGCGGAAATCGCAAAAGGTGCAGATGCAAAGATCCAATTCGGATATTCTTATCTGCGGCCAGGTGCATTAATTCTCGACTGTGTAAATGAAGAAACGGTCAATTGGCTGAAAGATATTGTTAACAAGCTGCCAGAGTGGGCAGGGCCTGATTTGATCGCAAGTCAAGAACGTGTAATTCCAGACGCTTACGTCTTGACGGTTGCATTACCGAAGAGCCTTGGCCAAGAATTCGAGCGCACATTGGCCTTGATTGCGGCACAAAATGAAGATTTAAATACTGAAGTGTGGAAATTTGTGAATGAACGCGAAGAGAATGAAAAACAAGTGGTAACGATACGTGTAGATAAGGATTCATTCAATACGATGAAGAGAAACGAATGGAAGTTATACTACAGATTCGACAAGGTCAGCGTACATTTCCACCGCTACTTAAGATATGGCAAACAACCTACATTATGGATAACTAATCCCAGCTGTCACAAACAAAATCAGGTGAAACCACCTGGTCCAGCTAATGCAAAATAAATAAAAAAAAGGTGAGTTTCTAAAAACTACATAAATTTACGACATATATAGATGTAATTATTTTTGAGGAACGCCCAATGTTAAACAAACTTATTACACGCTTATTATTATTTTTTTTTCAGTTCAACGCTTTCCTAGTGTCATTCGGTTAATTGGTTGATGTCTGTATTCAGAAAGATGCTACACATTTAAAACTTATACAACAACAGCTCCGATGGATATATATGAGAGTTGCGGGAGATTGCAAACAAGACCTTTAAGATGTGGTGAGTAGTATGCAGTAACTACATTTTTTTTTTAAGTATATTATGTGTATATTGTGATCACATTGCAAAAAAAAAAAAATAGGTGAAGTGAATGAGTGGCACAGAAGCACTTCAGTTCTTAAAATTTTCTAACTTCTTTATGACATTAGCAAAGCTAAAAGCTGCTCATTTATATGCATTTCACAATTTTTTGTACAAAAAAAAAATCTATTTTCTAATTACATAATTGTATATCCGGTACACATACACACACAACAATACAAACTAAAATATTACTCCATCGAATTTTTTTTTATTATGCATTTGTCTTTAAGATTTAGTGAGTTAATTGCTTTGCTATATTCCTTGGTTTTCTACTGCTAATTTCTTCAGCAAAAGTTAGTTAAGTGTTGAAGTGGCGATTGTTGGTCCGGTTATTCAGCAGCACATACGGTGACATGGCAAATAGATATGTATGTTGCCATAAACCCCTTAACTATAACCAGATTTTCGAAAATAAATCACATGCTCGATTGTAGCTTTCTCATAGCAGTAAACTTTAAAGTTGACTGTTGAATGTACATATGTATGTATGTATGAGAGAAAATATATTTTATTTTTAATCATTATGTAATGTAATATTACTGTAAGGTAGATATGAAATCTGTGCATACATATATAGCTATATTTATAATTGTGTTGCATAGAAACATAGACACAATGGAGCCGAGCTTCTTACAATTTCGTCCTTTTTTGTTAAGAATCATTTTATGAGGTTATAGTCAGAATTAAAATTTTTTACAACTAAATACATACATACCTATGTACTAAATGTTATTATTGAGTGAGTACCTTTAGGAGATAAATTAACACAATTTATTTCTATAACAAACTACGAACTTCGTTTCTTAATTCCTTTAGCATGCTCATATGAAACATCCGCGATTCTTGAAATCTGCTTCTGAGTTTCTGCAAAATTCATAGTTACTTAAAAATATAGTTTTCTTTCTAATTGGCGCTCTTAGTACTCCTTGGTGATATACATATCGCACGTTTAATAATATAGAGATGCAATTCAAAATTTACATTTTTTGGCGATTTCATCATACAATTATTAAGTTTGATAAAGGAGAATGTGTTTAGCCTAACAGATGACAAAAGTCCCAAAAAATAGTGAAGATATGCGTCCTTCCATTTGTCTTTTGATATACCAACTGAATGAATTGATAAAAGTTTGATTGCGTTTTCCCACGAATTTGAAATTTTGAAATACTTCCTTCTTATTATTAAATGTGCGATATTTCTCCTATCATTACATAACTATTTACTTCATTTAAATTTCGTAATAAATAGGCCAATCATTTTGGTTTTTCTGATTTTCCACAGTTCGTTGTTGGCGTTTATAGTTCAACAAAGACGACGACGACGACGACAGCACCTGTTCCGGCAACTTGGGTATATGATCACCACTCGGATGATAGCCATTGGCATCAGCCACGTATGTCAACGTGATGGGAATACCTTCAAGTGAAATATATTGCACCACGCCGCTGTGACCGTGCTCATTTCCCGCTGCTTTTGTTGTTATGCCGTTGGATGTTTGAAACTCGTAATGAAAGTCGCCACGTGTATTTGGCGCCCGATTTGTGTAGTAAATAGTGTGCGCATCACGATCAATTGATCTAATGGCCGCTTTTGCAGGCTGGAATTGTGTAAAAATACCACAACAGAACACACAGCACACCAGGAAATGCAGTAGCTGTTAGTTTGAGACAATAGGGAGGGGAAACAACAACATATTAATTAATATCCACATATACTGTTAGAGAATAAAATTATAACAAACCATCGATTGGAATTGCAATCCAACGCCGTATCGAATTTTACGTGTCACCCGCATTGTAAACCACATTCCCATTTGATTAAATGTAGCGTCGAATGACAGTAGGAATGAAGCCGCCGTTTTTTTATTTGAGCACCACCGAAAGTCAATTCGCAGAAACCTTTATTTATTCCAGTACGCACATGCACACACACGCGAAGTCGATAGCACAGCTAATCTACATCAACCGCACCCGTAACGAAATGAAAAGCGATTTTGGCGCTGGGAAGCTTTTATAGATGTATGTGCAGGCATGCAAATTAATTTGACAAACAATTTTTTTGGACGTTAATTAGTTTATGGCGAGAATTGGCGTATTCCACGGCAAGTTGTTTATGTCAATTCAAGCATTTGATGTGACGTGTGACGCCTGCGCTTGGGAAGCATCTGAAACAAGTGAGAGAGAGTGAGTGAACCACCTAGAAGAGTAGCACACACTGCAACGAGATCGCTGTTATAAATCTTGCTCCGTACGTGTGCGGAATGTGTGTCATAGCTCGGAATGATGAGTGTGTGACACTTCTCGAGTGCAATACTTAATTAATTAAAACTGAACCGGATGGTGTGATATGGTGTTGTCAATTGGCTGCTACATGAAATCATAAAATTTCATACACTGAAACTCATAAATTTCCAACATTTTTAAGTTTGTAATGCGATTGTACTGTAGCGAAACTATTTACATATATCAGTATCAAGTAAATAAAATCTTCATTTGTGTAACGATATGGTAGCCTCTTAAATACTTTTTATTTTTATTTTGGATTGAAAGAGGGGTTGGGGAAACATGCCTCTTGCCGATTAGAGAATGATTATCTACGTTCTTTTTATTTATTTATTTATTTATTTATTTTTTACAGTCTGTTAGACTTATATTGCAACAAAGATTTAACATTCTTATAATTAGATTTTAGATTTAAAATATAATATAAATATTAAATATTAAATACAAAATACAAAATGCTCTACAGAAATCATGTTTATGAAAAAAACTAACTATAAAATCCTTGCAAATATTTAACAAAAACCACCATGTACTCAGTTTTAGAGTATACATATGTATGCCTATATCTATCTCGATTCCTTTAGGCTCACACGAACAACCGTTAGGCGAACAAAGTAAGTTGTTGTTGTTGTAGCGGCTACAACAACCCCGCCCAGATCGGTTGGTATCTCAGTCGTTGTCGTCAAGTTCCACTAACGGCAACCCTAGGAAGCGTGCAGCTTCTGTGGGATCTGTCCACAGGGACAGGGCCGTTAGGGTAGGGGGTTCCTCAGGGTGGTGTCCTTTCCCCGCTACTGTTTAACTTTTATATTTCAAAGCTCCCTCAACCACCAGAGGGAGTCTCGATTGTCTCCTATGCCGACGATTGCTCGATTATGGCGACTGGGAATGGAATTGATGACCTGTGTTCGAAAGTAAACGGTTATCTCTCCGAACTTTCTCGCTTCTTCACTGCAAAGTGTCTAGCCCTCTCCCCTACGAAATCCTCCGCGACCCTGTTCACAACCTGGACGAAGGAGGTCAGGCTACCGCTGGGGATTCATGTCGATGACACACCAATTCCGACGGTGAATAACCCCAAAATACTCGGAGTCACATTCGACAGCCTGCTCTCCTTCTCTACGCACTCAACCGCTATTGTCAATAAAGTACAGAGCCGCAACAAGGTCCTCAAGTCGCTAGCCGGCAGTACTTGGGGCAAAGACAAAGAAACGTTGCTGGCAACATACAAGGCAATAGGCCGGCCGGTCTTGAACTACGCAGCGCCAGTGTGGTCGCCAGGGACCAGTAGGACGCAGTGGACGAAGCTACAGACGGGACAAAATACGGCACTTAGGACAGCGACGGGATGCCTCCTGATGACGCCAGAACATCACTTGCACGGCGAGGCGCAAATGCTCCCAGTTAGGGAGCACAACATAATGCTCTGCAAGCAGTTCCTGATCGGGAGCCACAGAAGTGGCCACCCAAACAGACAGCTGCTTGCAGAGGAGCCCTCGCCTAGGCACGTCAGGAGGCATCTATATGAACTGACGGGCGAAGTCCAGAGGTTCATTAAGCAACCTCTGGACCCGACAGCGTACAGACAGGCCCTGAACGGCATTCACAGGGACTCAGTCTCGAGTTATGTAGACTCTCGACCTGTGAATGCCGTTCTAGGCATACCACCCCCGGACACTGACGAGACAGAGCTTCATCTGCCTCGGGAGACACGCACTACACTTGCTCAACTTCGCTCCGGCTACTGCAGCAGGTTAAACTCCTACTTGAGTAGGCTGAATGAGGATGTGCCTAATGAACAAAGTAAGTCGTAAATAGCGCTTCTGTCATGCAGAAATTGCGAGTGTCGTGTCGAGTACCAGTTGTTTTTCGAGAGTCGAGTCGTATCGAAAATTACATGGCATTGCCAAAGGCGATGTCAAAATTATGTGTTTGTTGTACGTTTGTTTTGTACTGATTGTGAGTATAATTTGTTATTGTAATTTTTGTTTTTGTTCTGCCAACACCACCTTGTATAAATTCGCCTGGCATTGCCTAAACTTTCCGACTTAACTGTCGTGCTGAAATAAGTAAACGACGAAAATCGTCGAAAACTATGCAGTGCTGCCAAGTTCTTCCGTTTAAATACACTAGTCGAGTCGAAATTTTAGGCAATGACATGAAATTTTCGATACGATTCGACTCTGGAAAAACGACTTGCATTCGACACGACTCTCGCAATGAGGCTGTAAATTGCGCCGTTCCCACGACTGTCGAGTCTACGTAACTCGCAATGGCCGAGTAAGCAAAGCACTAGACTGCCAATTGGGGGATCCGAGTTCAAGTCCGAGTCGTCGGCCAGGAGCTTTTGTTTTTGTAATTTTTTTTTTTTTAGTTTATATTTTGATGTTTTAAAGAGAAAAATATATATTTTTTTTAAATTAATTTTTATGATATTAAGGTAATTATTCTTCTTAATACCGATTTATTAAACTATTATTTCCTCGCTTCATAAAAAATATTCATTCATTAAATAGCGTCTAGCAGATGAATGTGTGTATGTACATTAGGGTGCTAAAAAAAATAAATAAATTCATGTAAAGAAGTAAAGTCGGAATTTGTATGCTCTAACCCCCTAGGATTGTTCTATACCGAAAAGATATACCCCTACTTTTTATTTTGAAATCAAAATCTATTAGAGATCGCTCAAAGCGCTCAAAGTTTTCCATTTATTTTATATAGGGAAAATAAACAACTTTCGACCGGAAAACTCGTGTTTCTCTTCAGGAGATTCCCAATAATAATACCCAATTATTTTTTTAACCAACGTATAATTTGAGAGATTTTTCGAAAATTTAAGGCACTTGAGGCAACCGAAAATATTATCCGATCCGAAAACGGTTTAACACGGTTAAATGTGATCATGTAACACAATTTCTCCGCGCTATTAGAATTTCGAAATCGAAAAATTAATTTTTTTTCGCTCCACCTTATTGCTTAATATTATTTCAAAGCTGGAGAGCAAATCAAAGCGGTCTTATTTTTTAGTATGAAGTAAAATAAAAATTCAATAAGTGCCATGGATGGTGGACAAAAAGTATTCGAAGGAATAGAAAAATGTGATATTCTTATCTCTATCGATAATTTTCATAAACACATAGTAGCTATATAATTTACTGTTTGATTTTAAAGTTAAAAATTAGAGTTGACAGTTAGTTTAGTTGAAGTTAAATAGGTTCAAATATCAGAAACAATTTGTTAAAAGAACTCCAGACAAAGGAGGGTATCAATATTAAAATTTGGTAGTTTTTCAAAGCTTATCGCAAATCACGACACTGGCGTTTTAAGACGCACGATAACACTTCACTGCACTAAATGTCTTAATTAAAAAAAAAAAAAATCATAATCCACTTAACAACTGATGAGTCTTTTATTGTTATTGTGCTTTCGCTCTTTATTTTATTTTTTATTTTTTATTTGCTTTATTAATATTTTTAATTAATCATGTTAAATTATTTTTAAATTTTAATGACTGCAATTATTCAGTATGTATGTACACTCATATGTGCATATGTATGTATGTATGTAGACACCAAGGTGACCTACCGAAAAAAGCGGATATTTAATCTGATAAAACACTCAGTCAATTGTTTAGTAGAAATCTGATAATTTAAGTACCGCAGACGCGAGCGTGATTGGCAGGAGGTGCTATCTAACTGTGAGTAACATACAGTGTTGCCAGAGAAAAATTTCGTTTGGAGCTAAAACGGCCGGAAAAAAGAGCTAAAAAGAGCTAAATAATACTAATAGTAGCTAAAATGAAGAGCTAGTTTTTTTTTTAAGTAGAGCATTTATTGACGTGAGGTTGTTTTTACATTTTCCGAAATTTTTATAAAAAACACGAATTTTGTAAGTTTAAGTGCTGAAAAACACTTTTAAAATCAAAATAAGGTTCATATATTTCGAATTCGTTATAACACTTATATGCATGCACATACTTAAATAATTTAGATAATGAAATAAAAGTACTTTACAAACTGTTAAAATCTGCAATTTCAGATATTTGAATTGACCATACAAACTCGGGCTACGAATAATTTTTTTCGAAAAATTTGTCTGAAAAGTTTTACTTCCTTCTCTCCTTAAATGTAAAATTAGTAAGTTAAAAATAAAATCCCCGCGTTTAGAAAAACGATTTTCTTCTAATTAATTTTTGAATTCATATCGAGCCCTAACCGCCAAAATAACTTAAGCGACATTTTTTTCAAAATTTTCTTTTTGATGCAGAAATATTCCTAGAGCATCTAGATGCATTTCTGCATCGAAAAGAAAATTTTGAAAAAAATGTCGCTTACGTTATTTTGGCGGTTAGGGCTCGATATATTCATTAGGTCCATGAGTTTATGGTGCAGTCTGTATTTTCCCGTGTGGATACAAATCGAAAATTCGAAATATGTAACTTTATCAATGCTTAACTTTTGGCTTTGCATAAACTAATTGACTTACTTGCCCATTTTCCATTTGCTTGTGCGCCATTTGTATTAGAAATGGAAGTTTTCTAAGTATTAATCGAAATAGAATAATATGAAGATATCGAAAATAGCCTGAGATCGCCAAAGCCAAATAAATTGTAGTCAATACTTGTACAATGAACTTACAGATTTGTAATTTTAATATATGTATTACCAAACACAACTAAAATTTTCTGAAGGTAAAAAATTGCTACATAATTTTGAAAAGAGCTAAAAAAAGAGCTAGGAGCTAAAGCCCAATTTTCGAAGCTAAATGGAAAAATAGAGAGCTAAATCTAGCTCCAAAAGCACCAAACTGGCAACACTGGTCACATAGCCCCATTGCCGGGTCATTAAAATGTTTAGTTCAAAAGCAGTTTCGAAATTTCACTGCAATAAACAAGAAGAGTGCGTACTACGCCCGCCGGTAATGTTGAATTTTTGTTTGATTCTATCTTGCTACTCTTGCATATGTACCTATGTACATATTTAGGACATTTTATACATAAATAGTACATTTGTATATTAGAATGCCTCACGAAAAAAGTTATCATTTCCCCAAGCGAAACAGTTTCGCTTTTAATTCAACGGCCGAAGCAGCTCTAACCCAGCAAACAAAGTCCGTTCTCGTTTTTATGGCTAAATACCACCAAAATAATTCATAAAAAAAATTTCACCGAAATACATTTTTTTCGAGTTTTTAGAAAAATTTTGCGTATGCAGTTTTATAGATGGTTAAATTTTAGTACAACAAAGTGCTAGTAGCAAGTGGCTAAGAGTTCGCGTTGATTTTTAATAATTTTTTTTTTTCGCTAACTTTTCGAGCACATCTGCATGTTAAGTAGTTTATATTCTTATTATTATCAAGGCTGGTAAATCTAAGCAAATGCTGAAAAAGCTTATTTTACATATATCTGGAAAATTTAGTTGGCTTTTGTTCGACTTACGTGCTTATTTTTGCATATTTTACAACATTTTACAAATTTTCGGGGGAAAAACGATATATGTGTGTGAGACAGGGTGAATTTATACATATGTTTTTATACTTCTGCTACCACCTTGTATGAATTCGCCTCGATACTAGAGCTTGAAGAAATCCGAACAAATTTGGCGCTCATTAAGGCAAATTTTGGTTGTTAGATATTAGGTATACCAAAGCTTCAAACAAGAGGTTTGACACGGAAGGACGTTGTCCTGAAAATCAGATAGTTGTTTAAAACGACAATTTTATGAAATGGGTCAGCTAGACAAGGACAAGATGGCAAAAACATGCATTTTTACAGGGTTGAGTGTAACATCAAACACATTTTGCACCGGGGAAGGGCAATATTTTTAAGAAGAAATGGAATCACCATTTCATTTTTTCATCACATTTAATTATTATATTTTTAGATTTGTTCAACCAGTTTTTAATTTGTACAATTAATTAATTGGAACACGAGAAACGATTTTTTTTCAAAATTGCTACTTTTTCTACACTTTGGCACTAAAAAAATTTAATACAAGGAAATAAAAATTCATAAATCCGGCTCAACTGGCATCTTGCAAATTTTATAAGCTTTCATTAAGAAAGACTTTGTCAAATTGAGTTAAAAATGAAGTCTCTAGTAAATTGCACAGTTTTGAACCACAGTGCGATGGCTGGACATCTTCTACCAACACAAGTTATATTGGTGTTACAGTTCATTTCATTGACAAAAACATAAGGCGTTTCTCAGCTCTTGTTGTTGTGTTGTGTTGCCAAGGGTTTTAGAATAAAAAATAAAATAAGAATACATTTTAGGTAATGTGAGATTTCTTGAATAAGTGAAGAGGTGCGGATTTAAGTAGTGCTTGGACGCAATGCTGGTTGCCTATAGGGCGAAGGCCCATAAGACAAGGAAATTTTAGTTTTTTCCCACTTTTTTGGCAACTGCCTACTGACTGTCGGCTACTGTTTCCCGCTTAGGACGATTTTGTTATTTGTTTACATAAATTGTTAAAGGTGTACATGTAAAAAAAAGTAAATTCAGATATTGCCTGCGCTTTCCTGTCTACAAAGATTAATCGCTGTACATAATACAAAGTACGATACTGGTAGCCACGGCTACTAGATCAGCAACTAAATAGACACCAGTCACCATACATAATAGGGCCATTAGTCCATCAAATTAAAATTGTTTGAAGATTTGTGTTTTAATTTTAATTGCTTTGCTTTTATAATAAATAATAAATAATTAAGTGAACGAAATTGTGCACTTACCATTTTTTGCTTTATACACTTACCGAGTATTTACCTTTGTAGATGTGAGATATATGTACATACATATGTTTTTTTCAAGATTTTCGAAGTGAAAGGCAAATAAGATTTCGCTATATGTATGTATATTTATACGTATACATACGTACATATGTATATGTATTTAGATAACCCTAGTGTGTATGTGCGTATATTAAAATCGGAAATGCATTTATGACAATTCGCTTAAGTAAAATTATGTCTAAATATAATTTGTGATACTTATAATGGTCTTTTAACTTTTAATGATTAAATATATTTACTGTTTAAGTACTAAATATGTACATCTGTATAAAATAGGTATTTTATTCTATTTTAACATTCGATAACGACCACGATCCTCATCATTCGGATGTTTGCTTATATACTCCAGCGAGCGGAGTATATAGTCTGGTATTGGTGGTGGTCTGGGTATGTGACGTCCAACTGCATGGAATCCCAATTCGTCAGCAATGTAACGCACTTCGATCGGTATGCCTTCGGGGGACATATAGCTGTAGATACCTATCGCCTCAATAGCGCTACCAGCGGCCTGTACGGAAATACCGTTACTCGTTTCATATGCATACCTATAGATGCCTAAGTCATCGGCCGGTGCTACTTGAAATAGAGTGATGGAGGCATCAGAATCGCCAGGTTGAGCAGCTTGCACCATGCCAATGGGATCGGTGATGATGCCCACAAGGAACAACACTAAAAAGACACACTGTGTTTTGTTAAGAATGATATGTATACATATATGCGTAAAAATTAAAAATTAAAAATTAAAAAGGTTTTTTTGGTTTAAACTAAAAACCGAATTTTGTTAAAGTTGGATATCTCTTTCATCCAGTTTTCACATTTCTCTCTTTCTAAGCATGAACATAGAGTAGGATTAATATGGAGATGATTTCGAAGGCGGCTACGACGATCAATACGAAGAACAACACGACGAAAAATACGAACAGGAATACAAAGACTTATACGAGGGTGAATACGAAAACGCTTTGAAGACGGATATGAAGGTGAAGGTGGAGTCTAATACGAAGACAAGTGCGAATATAAAGGGGATGCGAGAACGAAAATGAAAACGAATACGAAACTAGCCACTTACGAGGCCACTAAGAGGCATTAAAGAGCCTCAAAAAGTGTCTGAAATGATTCATATATGAAGCCAAACATTTTCTTAAAAGAGTCCAAAATGAGCCGTATATAAGGCCAATAAGAGTCCAATATGACTCATACTAAGATTCATTTGATGTACAAATTTAAGTTCATATAAGTCGATCTTCGGAGGAAGGAAAACACGGATTCTTAAATGAGCGTAAAGGCTCCGAAATAGGACTCCTTAAATACTCTTTTATCACACCAAATGTTTGCTGGGGAAGAGGGAAAAAGCATTGGGACCCTTAAAAAAAAACAGAAAGCAGCCGAACTTCGGCAGTAATAGGCCCTTCAGAATGGGTACTTGTACGTCGATAACGGAAAAGTAGGAAGCGAAGCGAAGGAGGATGGTTCCGTATACTGAAGTCCACGTAAGTGGGGACAACTTTTGACTGCCATTCACCTGGGAGTGGCCAGAAGTGATTCTTGTGCGTACGGCTCAAATCGCAGCTCACAACGCCCGGATATTTAAATCCATGTATCCTCTAGGTAGCGACCAAACACCCGTTTGGGAGCGAGCTAAAGTGAGAAGGCGTAAACTTCGCATGCGCTCGGTTTGGGTCTCGCCACGTTAAAACCCCGCCCAATGAAAACGAGTATACAGCCTCGGATTAGACCCGCTTTTTCTGATTACGACGACGGCAAACGTATAATTGACTGTGATTTGAGGGTATGCACCTCTACCCGGCTGGTTGATGTCTTCAAGAAGACAAGGGCTGACATCACTGCCATCCAAGAAATGCGATGGACGGGGCAAGGCAAGGTAAGCGTGAAGCCTTGCGACGTCTACTACAGTTGCCACGTAAAGGAGCGCAAATTCGGTGTTGGATTCGTGGAAGAAAAGAGACTCCGTCGCCGAGTACTGGCGTTCACCCCGGTGGACGAACGTTTAGCCACAATCCGCATCAAATCTAGATTCGTCAACATCTCGCTGATCTGCGCCCTTGCCCCGACGGAAGAGAAGCGTCTAAGGATCTCTTCTATGAGAGCTTGGAGCGTACATATGAGCGCTGCCCCCGACACGATATCAAAATCGTGCTCAGCGATTTTAATGCCAAGGTGGGCAAGAAATGGATCTTTGGCGCCACTGTCGTAAATTCTGCCCGATAATGACCTGAGGCTGATAGACTTCGCCGGGGCCCGAAACATGGTATTATGTAGTACTAGGTTCCAGCATAAAAATATCTATCAAGCTACATGGCTGTCTCCAGATCGAAGAGAAAAGAAACCAAATCGATCATGTTGCGATAGACGGAAGGCATGCTTCCAGTGTTTTAGACGTGCATACACTCCGAGGGCCAAACATCGACTGGAACCACTGTCTTGTTGCAACCAAGATACGCACCCGCCTCTGCGCAGCAAAAAATGTGCGCCCAACAATGCAAGGAAAGCTTAACGTCGTCGAAAAGCTGCAATCACAACAGACGGCTAATTTATTCGCCACTCGATTCTAACACCTATTCTCTGAGAGCACTCTCCAACACACCGACATAAACGAACAGTTGAACTACATTTCCCGCTCATTAAGTACCGCCGCCCAAGTAGTCGGATTTCAACGAGCTGCAGAGAAAAAAGATGCCGCCTGCTGCCTACAGAAGGAAGCGAGACGTATTTGCCGCTATAAGAGAGAGGGCGAAATATGTACCTGAGTGCGAAGAGCTTGAGATGCTGTAGTAACATTAGAGAAACATACAGCAGTTTATTATGAGTGGCACACGACTATTTATTTGTTAGGCATAGGTTTTGCACGAATGGAAGAAAATCAACCAATTGGTTTAGTTTTGATGTGAAATTGTATAAATCTTGCTGAAGAATATCTTGAAAATCTATAAGACCATTTTTACTTTTAAAAAGGCGCTCACAAAATAGAAATATCAAATATTGCCAGAGCATAGAGCATGAATCACGAGGTATGTATAAATTAATTTACACTGGTGGCAGAAATAATAGAGACGCCTTATTTTGACTGTATTGGCTATATTTCTTTTGTTTATTTATTGCATACTATTTTTTTCTTCTAGCTCATTAACTCATTAACTGCGCATTTCAAACTTTGTATTCAAATTATAAAAATTTAACAAGTTTTTACTAAAACTTACACTTTTTTTAACTATTTATTCAGAACTAGCAAATACCCGGCGCGCTTCACTGCACATTAAAAGTATTTTTGTGTTGTTACTCTCTTACTCTTATGGCCTCATTCATAAAAAAATTAAATAGATTTAAAGAGTTTTAAGAAGGGAGATTTTCAAAAAAAATTTCGATTGATGAAATTTTTTATAAATGTGGGTGTTACTTGATATATTTTAAAAGGGCTTTCGGCTTTCTCCTAGACATTTAATTTATAATCTTATATCTCGAGTCTACATATCGCGCGCTTCCTTCAAAGGTAAACGAATTCAATATTTACTTCATCTTATCAATTTAACTGAATTCAATTTTTCAAGCCGCTTCAAAAATATGTTCGATAATAAACTTTTTTAAACCTCTTTAGTTTAGCAGCAGTATTGCAATATTTCATTTACTTTTTACCCATCTAAATGAATAAAAATTTTCAAACAGGTGGCAACCCCTCCCAAAATATATTTTCGGCAGTAAACTTTCCCAAAGCTCTCAAAGTTTGATACTAATATTGCAATGTTTAATTTATCTTATCAATTAAATCAAAAATTTTCAAACAGGTGGCCACCTTCCACAAAAACATTTTCGACTGTAAGCCTTCTTAAATTTCTTTCTTTTGATATCCATATTGCAATATTTAACTTAATCGTATCAATTTACCTAAAGTGCAATTTTCAAACAGTTGGTAACTCTCTAATTTCTTTTCTATATTTTAAGTTAGACCTCAAGCAATAAATAGGTGAAAACTGCATTCGATTCTATGCATTAGTTTTCGAGTGACGCAGACAGACAAACACCTCCCACATTAATTTTTCTTCAATATCTATAATGTACACACATCGGCCTGTCACAATTTTATTATATGTATAAATTTTGGGTATGCAGTTTTGTAGCCCATTAAATTTTAGTAGGATAAAGTGCAAGTTTGAAGCGCATATACATAAATACCGTTAATTTTTGATAATTTTTCTTGCTGACGCTGTTGTGTATTTGCTTCCACATAAAGAATACACAAAACATGAATTTCTTATGAAATGAAACGCCCAATACCGTTCGCAACAAAAAGTAAAAAAAAAAATCAACAACAGTTTCTACATATAAATCGTACTTTTATATATATATATATAAAAACACGACAAAAAAGTTCGACTGCAAAAAAAAAATTTAAATCACCAGGATTGAAACTTACACGTTGTTATACTAAAATTTAATCAGCTACAAAACTGCACATCTAAAGATAAGGAATAAAAAAATTCAAGTTTTTATGAAAATTTATTGATTTTTTTTTTTTTAATTTTTGTATAAAGTTTGAAAAATTGATTACTATATAACGAGCTAGACTTTTGTAAAAAAACATTAAATAAACAAAATAAATATGGCCAAAACTAGTTGAAGTAAGGCGTTTTTATTATTTCTGCCACCACGATATGAATATATGTAGTTCAAAATAACAAATTTTTTTTTTTTTTACAAAACACACAGAGTTCACAGTTTTCTAGTTTTTAATACCAAATTTCTCGAAAAGAAACCAGTATTATAGTCAAATTGTTCTGCTAAGGATTTATATATATATATATATTGTTTTTTTTTTTGATTTTTATAAAAAAATTTCAAGGTTTTGCTGGCTTTAATTGGTAAATCCGACACTTACGGTTTTTGGTTTTGTATTACTTGTGACCCGCATTTTTACAAAACAACTGTTGAAATTTTTAAATACAATTTTTTTTTTTTTGTAGTCAGCTTCGTTTTCTGCTATTTTTATGCAACCAGGTATTCGTTTATTCGTTTTTTTTTTACTTGTTTGGCCTGATATTTGTCTGCAGCTTTATACTATGTGTTTATATACATATGTTTAGGGTTTGAAGCAATTTTCACAACTGCAAGCGAGCGCGTAAAAAATAAAGTGTTTTATATCTTTTGATCCAACCGTTTCGAATTAATCGTAATCAGCTAACCACAAGTTATTAGCTAAACAAATACAATAGGGCAAGTTTTCAAATATCCAGCGTTT